AAAAACTTTAATTATAGCTACAAAAGTCATTCAGTCAAGAGCAGTGAGGGATTTTCTCCAATTGTTGTTTGACTAATGATAAAAACAGTCGGCAGCAGGAATATTGCGCGATGTCACTTTAAGAATAGTGCGGCTCTGACATGGTTTCTCTTTCACGTGTCTTTTGATTCTCAACTGGTTTGTTTATTACACAAATGAGGGTTAATATGAATAATCACTAAACACCGTGCACTGACCCAAATGTGCATGTATTTGAGCATTAAAGCGCTCGCATTTAGATGGTGTTAGATGCTCGTCTCCGAGGCTAAACGCGCACACACACACCAGCATGCGCTCTTTCGCACGTTTAAAAACATGAATGATTCGAAGGTAAATCAATGAATGATGCGCATCCCGTGCTGCAAAAGTTACATTACAGTACATGCTTTTAGTCATTTTCCCGTGGAACTGAGCTGTGCAGAGCAACAAAAGTGTAGAGCTGGAAAGGAGGCGGTTTATGATGGAATAATCGTTTATTTCGATTAATGTTTTTTCATAATGGTTTGAAGCCAAAAACTGGATTTTCAATTAATTGCACAGCTCTAACCCAACCAATAGTGTTTTCTAAAGCACAGATTAACGCACCCATACACCTTCCTAAAAAGCAATTATGGAAAAGAAAAGCCCCCTGATTTTTACCACGTTTTCAGATTTTACCACGTCCTTACCCTGATATTTACTTGTTTGTTTTATTTTTTGGCTTCTGTTTTTGTCTTACCTAATTACTGCAATTGTTTATCACCAGACTCAAACCCGGTCATTGTGGTCAACTCCGCTATGCATCTCAAGTCCGCCGACGTATGAGTCGCGCAACCGGGTATACTGTTATTCCAGTCGGGCTACCAAAATTTATCAACAGTGTGCCTGGCAGGTTTAGATACCCCGCTGGTACTTCAGGCTACAAGATTTTGTGATTCAGCTGGTAAGCAAGAAAAGGAACGCCGTCATACCTCCCCTTATTGTTCATTTTAAAGATGAAATGCTCTGGCTACATAATTCATGATCTCCAAAAATGTATATAGGGGTACATTTTTAAAACGAATCTCTGTTAATTAGTTCACTTGGGTTCAGCAGTACATTTCAATTCATTTCAAGAAACCTGAACACTAAATCAGCATTTTATAGAGATTTCTGTATCACCCTGATGACTGAGGTAATTCAGCTTGGCTGCCTCATGGGATAACCTACTATAAATACATTTAATAAACAGGGTAACAATTTATTTGTTTAATTCTTCCTATTAACAATCCATTTTCTATGACTTTTAGCTCCTAGTTTGCTGCTTATTAATAACTATTGAGTTAATATTTGTGATCATGCAGAATATGAACTTTATAAGTACAAATAAACAGCCCAAATCTTAATAATAGACAGGTAATCAACCACTAAGTGAGAATTGGTGCTTAAACTAAAGTGTTACCAAAAACAGTCTAAAATTGTAAAAGAATATACACAACACAAGATTACTGTTTCTACTGTATTTTGGATCAAATAAGTGAAGCTTTAATAAACCTTTTTCAAAGCCATTTGTTAAATAATGGCGCCCCAATACTAAAGCATTATTTTCAAAGAAAAGTGTCTCCTATCAAATGCGTTAGCACCATTTTAATTTAGCAAATTAGTTTAAATCCTCATATTTAATCCAGTAGACACAAAATTTCCAATTGAACAGCTGAGAGGAGATAAAAAAAAACTAATTTAGCACTAGAAAACGAGAAATGGAAATGACCACAGAACACTGGACCTGCCTTAAGTAATTACTTTTGAATGCTATTAATTAAAGGCAGAACACAAACTCATTAAGATACTATTATCTATCTCAGTTTAACCAAATCAAGTTTGGGCCTAATTAGTATGTACAAAACCTGTCGTAAAAAATCTAAGAGGAGTCTAATTGCGCGGGCGAGACTGACTTTGACCCACAAAGCTCTGCAGACCCGACTAGAGGCACTCGCTTCGTTAATATGCTAATGCAGGAGATCAAATGAAGTTAAAAACACACATTACGACCCATATCTTTACTCTCAGAGGCAATGCTCAAATCAGCAGCGCTCATGTGACCTGAGGCCCACAAGACTTTAAAAGCCATTCTGAGGAGAGTGGTTTCTCTCTTCTCTACCCGCTGGCCTAACAGCGTCTTACTCTTTCTCCACAAACTAAACACGCTTTTAGATGGATGGCTGGAAAGAGAAAGGGAGCACTTCATTGCCAGATCCCCCTTCTTATATCTCTTTTAATGCACAAGTTTTCATACAAGTCTGTTTCTGAAAGGCGAGAGATGTTTTCCCACCATTAATCATGCAACGTCGGACAGCCATATACATTATATCTGCATACAAACTCTCTAATGGCACCTTTTAATGACTAAACTATATGGAAAATCTGAAAGCTTCCATAGCATTAGTTCTGCTGTATATAATAACTTAAGTTTTTATAGCCTACACCACCATTTTTCATAGCTGTCAAATGAATTTGCACTGCAAGTAGTAAAGTTACTTGTCTTATCTATTCATATGATACATCAATATGGTAATCAGTTTTTTTTTTGTTTTTTTCCCAGCACTGGTCTATCTCACTTATTTCATTACAACAACCTCAGGTGAAAATACATGCAGTTTTGGTCCTAAAATGGTTGTAATGATAAAAATTATGTGATTGCTACATAAAAATACCAATGTAATTTCTGCAGTAAATTATTTAAAAAAGACATTTTGGTCTACAGTCAGCTTCCATTTTGGGTCCTGTTGTCTCTAACAGTTTTTCCCACCATCTTACATGGACTCTACTTTTTCTATAAGGGAGGAAAGGGTAAAAAGATTTATTCTTAAACAATACATTCTGTTTTTTTGAAGAGTTTGTAGGTCATTTTCATTACTTATATCTCAATTTTTTAGATATCTGCAGATTAGGAGTCTCATTAAGAAGGTATTTGTTTCCTTCCTAGAAATACCCCCTACATCACCCATTAAGAATTTGCTTGAGTTGAACGCACAGGGCAGTGGACTCATCTCAAGCATATTTTCGATTATTACATCTATAAACCCATAGAACCAGGGAGTTTATTCATGAAGCTTGGCAAAATGATTTGAACAGAGAATTTTCCGATCTAGAATGGGCAGATGCCTTAACTCAGGTGCATTTATCCTCACTCAGTGCTAGAAATGGTTTAGTTCAATTTAAGGTTCTCCATAGACTACATTTTACTAACTCTAAATTAGCAATAGTTTACTCAAATGTTAGCCCTGCATGTGGTAGATGTTCACAATCACCTGCTACCACTGCTCATACATTTATGTTCTAGTTTTGTCCCATGCTAGAAGAGTTTTGGAAAGGGATTTTTGAAACAAACGAACAGATATATATATATATAGCATTCCAACTGACCCAGATCCATTGATGGGCAGTTTTGGTGTCGTGTCTGAGAATATAGATCTCAGTAAAGATATACATTCGGTTATTGCTTTCACTACACTACTAGCAAGGCATTTAATATTATTCAAGTTGAAAAGAGTAAACCCCTAACACATGCTGGCTGGAGAAATGAAGTGATTTCTTGCATTCAATTGGAAAAGTTTAAATTCATGATTCGAGGCTCGAAATGCAAGACAAATAGTCCTCCTTTATTAATACATTTATTTTTTCTACTATGTTATTTCTATTTTTTTCTCTTTGGATGTTACCAAACACTTCATCTCAAATGATAACAAATTGACTCAAAATATGACATAATGTATTGACTCACTGTTAACTTTGACAAATCTGGAAGGTTTTGTGATCCTGGAGGATATGAATATTTTGTTTTTTTTTATTATTGCTATTTTTATTATTATTATGTTATTTATTCAATTATATTATTTGTATTAAGATGCACCTCTTTTGTATGTTACTTCTTTTAGATGTTGCCAAGCCTCTCATGTTAAATGATAATATATGGACGAAACAAATATGGTACACTCTGTTTTCTCACTGTCAACTCAGAAACTCTGGAATGATAAATATTTTCAATGCCAAAGTTATGGTATAGGGTAGGGGTAATGTAATTCTTTAAATTGTAAATGCAAAAAAAAAAAATAATTAAATAAATAAATAAATAAATAAATAAATAAATAAATAAATAAATAAATAAAATAAATAAATATATATATATAGATGATAGATAGATAGATAGATAGATAGATAGATAGATAGATAGATAGATAGATAGATAGATAGATAGATAGATAGATAGATAGATAGATAGATAGATAGATAGATAGATAGATAGATAGATAGATAGATAGATAAATAGATAGATAGATAGATAGATAGATAGATTGTAGTTCAAGGAAGAGAAGCTCAAATTTCTACAATAAAAATATTTAACTTGAAATTTTATATTGTTTACATACTAATTACCAAGATTGATGTAGCTTGTTTACACACAAAACTACTGTTGCTGCTTGTTCAAACCAACTGAAATAAGTTGAAACATCAGAAATCTTATTTTTTTGGGACATCTTAAATGTTCAATCTACAAATATTTGTAAAAAATGAATTATGTGGAACCCAGGATTTTTGTTGAAAAGATTGTGTTTTAATTTTCCTGCATTTTCTATGGTAATGCAGAAATCCTTAGCTTTTAAACAAAACTATAGCTCTTAAAGGTTTGAAATGACATTAGGGTGAGCAGATGATGAAATAATTATTATTTTAAATCTTATTAAATAATTAAATATTATGAATGATATAAATAGGTGATCTTCTAAAGCTTATACAAGGAGGAGTTAATAATAAACAACATGGTTATATTATTCATCTCTTTTATTGCTGCTTGCAGTTTTAATATTATTCCTATTATTTACTCAATGTAAAAGACTGCATACTCTTTCTCATGTTTGAAATGACGTCTAGATCGTATGATAAGTAAATGTGGGCTAAGATGTTTCTTTAAGATTATTAAAGATTTTCTTTCTCTGTCTCACCTGAAGTCCTTCTGTTCCAGGCTGCTGCAGTAGTTTGACCGTTCGACCCCCTGCAGTTTTGCGGTTGTGCCCTTCATGCCAGGTAAGGTTTCCACCTGCACAACGACTCAACTGGTACTTGAAGTCCTCAGGAAGAGCCCTGTACTCCACCGCAGGGCGACAAAAAGTAAAACTAGAGGCCGCTGCAGTAGAAAAAAAAAAGATTTGGCCTTTATTCACTGATTCAGACACACACATTCAATCCTTTTTATGTTTTCACAAGTACAGCAATCTTTTTTTGTCAGTCAGCAGGCTTGTATCAGTGCATTGTGGGAGATCCAGTGTTTGTGACCATCAAAAATGCTGTGGTTATGGGTCAGTTGAAGGACTGGGTTTTTCATTAAGGTTTTGGTGGTTGCTAGAAGAGTTTAAGGTTTAGGCTTAAGAACAAGCTAAGCCTCGGCAAACAGAATTGTTTGAATGACCCATATCTCCCGAGGCTGACTGGGCGGCCTGGATTCTTCCCAAAATAATACCTAAAGATACTAGTCAGCAAAGTTAATGGAAAAATTATGCATTAGCGTGTCAGAAGACGATAAAACAGCACAGCATTGGTAGCCCGTGGGATAATCTAATGAAAAGCATATGAGTCTCCAGATTTCCAGGAAGAAAAACTTTAAGAGCTGCTAAATACTAAAAGCCTTGGAAACGTCAGTTCTTGCTGAGCTAGACAAAACTCGGATTTGCAATTCATGATACAGTTAACTGAAAATGTCATTAATAAAGACTTAACTTATTCCTGAGATATTAAGATATCCCTGCTATAAAATATGCATTACACATCATTTAAATTGGGTCATCTTTTGCCATATTGTCCACAAAATATGTCTTGACTTTAAGCTGCACAGTGTCGAAATTGCAATGTTGAATGGAAAACATTTACATAAGTTGGATTGGTATGCATGTCACATTTTACAATTTCATTCATAAATAATATAAAATAGGTTGGCAGGATCATGACGTTTTTATAAACATTGTGAAGATGTCTTTTAGGATCTCTCATGCCAAAATATATCCGCAAAATTTTTAGTATCCAGAGCAGAAAGGGGAATGGAAAATGTGAGTATACAACAAACAGTCACAGCTGGTTGCGAAAAACGAGAGTAGATCCAAGATCTATTTGCAGCAGTCCCGTTTATTTACAAGAACTCAAAACAAAGCCCACTGGAGACAACAAGAACGCAAGGCAGAGCACAGATGAGAACTGACAAACTTATTAGTAAAAAAGGCATTAAAAATAAGATATTATCAATAGCTAAATCAGCCACAGGTGTGCAACATAATCAGTAACCATGGAAACAACTGAAAAAAAAAACTGGGCAACCAAAGAAAAAAGCTACCAATTCAAATATGCTTACTTACAAAATCCTTTGAAATTAAAGGCTACAGCACATTTCACAGACTTACATCTAAAACTAGCCTAAAACGTCTATTACAGAAATGACAGTACATACTAAGTATTCACTAATGTGATTTTGTTGAACACAGACATTCTATATTATGAAAAAATGTTTCAGTGTGTTGTTTTCAGGCCTCAATTTGTTGTTTTGAGTTGTTCCATTTTTAGGTGAAAGTAAATCTAGAAATAAGTTGGCGGTTCATTTTGCTGTGGCGACCCTGGATTAATAAAGGGACTAAGCCAACAAGAAAATGAATGAATGAATGAGTAAATCTAGTACTGTAATTAAACATCTGTCCCATGTATTAAGATTTCCCCATCTAAAAAAACACCATTCTAGTACACATAATATACTTTTATGCATTTGGCAGAGGCTTTGGAACACAATTTAAAGTTTATTCAAGATGGACGTTTCAGCAATGCTTATATTCCTTAAAATCATACCTGTGACAGCACCTGTCTTGTCCTATTATAATTTCTGTTTTTCCGTTATGTTTTTAGGTGCTTTCACTCCTCATCGCTTTAGCTTTTCCTGCTTTCCTTAGTTAGTTTCCTTGGCTGTTTATTGTCTCCACCCCTTTTTTATCTAGTTTACTCATTATCCCTTTGTCTGATTCACTATATATACCTGCTTGTGTTGGCACTCGGTGTCAGTTGTTTTAGGTCACCCCTGAGATGTCTGCGTTTGTTGTTTTCTTTGGTTTGAAGTGTTTGGATAAACTAATTGTTTGGCTCCATTCAGACTCATCACTCAACCTGCTATAAGCCAGACGTGACAATACCCTTCATTGTTGCACAAATATAATGCAGTGTTTAACCAATCAAGCTACACAGAGCTCAAATTGTTAGGCTGATGAAAGACCACAATGAACTGTCTTGCAACAGGGGAACTATTCTAGTAAATAAAAAAAAATTAAAATTCCGAGTTTGTAACATAGCATACATTTTCACTTTTAGCAAACTACACAAAATGACAAAAGTTTTGTCGCTGATCCCTCTTGTAAGAGCAACAACAAAATAACTTGACTTCTAGTTGATCATTTGGAAAAGTGGCAGAAGGAAGATTTTTTGATGCATCTTTTATTAAACTACATCCAAATCATCACAAATACTGCAGAAGACCTATTGGAACCCACATAGACCCAAGAGTCTCACAGAAATCAGTCAAGTTGGTGAAGAAAAAAAATCATGGTTTGGGGTTACATTCAGTATAGCGGCATATAGATGGCAACATCGACAGCCTGAGGTATCAAGACATGTGCTGCCCATTACATTACAAAATACAGGAGAGGGCAAATTCTTTAGTCGGATTGCCCTCCTCATACAATGAAAAGAAAGTCAAGGTGCTCCAGGATTGGCTAACCCAGTCACCAGATTTAATCATTATTAAGCATGTCTGGGGTAAGATGGAGGAGGCATTGAAGATGAATGCAAAGAATGTTAATGAACTCTGGGAGTCCTGCAGGAACGCTTTCTTTGCCATTTCAGATGACTTTATTAATAAGTTATTTGAGTCATTGCAGAGATGTATGGATGCAGTCCTCCAAGCTCATGCACAATATTAATTCTTTTTCCACTGTAGCATGACTTTATATTCTATACTCAACATTATTTCTGTTAAATTACAAGACTTTTGTCCAAGCAAAGTTTCTATTTTTATAAAATATAAATTCATGTTTTATTTTGGTAAAATAAGCGTAATCTAGAGGGCTTTTCCTTTAATGAACCACTTCTGTTACCAAATAATCAACTAGAAGTCAAGTTATTATTTGTTGTTCCTAAAACTTGGATAGGCGACAAAACTTGTGTAAGGTAGTGTACACTATTAAAAATATTGGCTAAATAACAGTAAATTTACAAGTGTTTTGGGTTTATTTATTTACAGTTGTGAGTTGCATTATGGGATCTTGATCTCTGCTGTCAACTTTTGATGTTGAAAATTCAACTCCACAGTTCAACAAAGTGACTGTTTTTGACATTTTAGTAGTTTAAAATAATAATACAATGTATAATAAATAATATATTAAGAAATAAATATGTAAAATAACAGAAAATGGACTGGCAGCTCATTACGATATTACATTACATATATTGTATATTACATTTTTGGTATATTACATTTTTGTACTGTAATATACCTCATTCCAGATACTATATCACTTTAAATCACCATTGAAAAATGTAACAAAAGTCATTTTTTGAGCGCGTCAAGGTTAAAAGTTGTTGGAAGACAGATCAAGGTCTCAGAATTCAATTCAAAAGGATAAATAAACCAGGAAAACAAACAAACAAACAAAAACACAAAAACATGAAGCACAAAATACAAAAAAATGCTAATTTATGATTTTTTTTTTTTTTTTACAGTGTGCCCCTTTTACACTAAATAACAAAATAGTGAATACATATAAATTCGGGTGTCAGTGTGTGGAAATAAAATGTGCATATTTCTAAAAGCAATAGAGCAGACCATCACGGCACAGTTTCGCTTGGTTGATGACTGTAAATGAGGCGGTGGGCAGCCTAAGCAGATTTTCTCCCACAAGCTGCGAGAGGCCAGTGCATTAACAGACAGAGACAGATACAGTGTGTGTATGTGCTCATTAAAACCTCACGCTTCTAATCACTACCTTAGCCTTGGCACAAACGACTACAATCAGTCATCTCTGTGCATGTGTGCTGGTATCTGTGTGTGTGCGCATGCAAGTGTTTATGAGTGGGAAAGGCTCTAAGTTTGTATGTGTGTTGGAAGGTGGAGGCCTGGATGAGATAAAAGGGACGTCTTTTGCTCTCGTTCCCTGCAGCCTCACAGGCGGCTACAAAGGCCGTCCTCATCAAGAGTGCATGGGGGATGCCTGCCTGTATGAACGCATTTGGGATGGAGTCACAGATGAACACAGGCTTTCATCACGGAGCCTCTGAAGCAGACATTAGAGAGATGTCGCGCTGCTGTGGCTGGAGGGTGAAAACACGTCATGGCCTGTTAGTACTGGACAGATGTTTGCTCTTATTTTCTATATTCGAGCACAAAAAGATGTGCCCCTAAATCTAGAAAGAGTTTCTCCTCATCAAACCTCACGCTTGACCCACCAAAGCGGAAAGGAAAAAGTCTATAGGCAGCTGAGATTATTACATTTCCCCTACCGTTTAAATGATTCAGGTTGGTACATTTTAAATGGTTTTACTTTAAGCTTCTTATTCTCACTAAGGCTGCATTGACTTAATGAAAAGTGTAGTACTAACAGCTATATCGAATGCAATTTAAAATAACTGTTTTATCTTTAAGTGTATTTGAAAATGTAACTGATTTCTTTGATGGAAAAGCTGATTTATAGCAGCCATTACTCTATAATTTAGAGTCACAATCCTTTAGAAATCTTTTTAATATACTGATTTAGTAACATTCTTCATATTATTAGTGTAATAATATTTTGCAGAAACTGTGATACATTTATTTCAGCATAAACAGCGTCTATTTAAAATTTTTATTACAATATGAATGTCTTTCTTTACTTTCATTTAACATGGCCTTGCTGATTACAAGTATTAATTTCTTTAAACAGGGTATATGCAGGAATCCTAAAGGTCATTTCAATACATTTTAAGACTATGGTTTCGCTACATGTAGAGAGCATCACATCACCTTCCCGTGTTTGTCGCAAATTACATGACATCACATGGACAGAGGAGCTTTGCCGGGCGCGGCCCGAACCAGTTGCGTGGATCGAGCATGTCATTCTTAATATTAGAAGAAAAATAAATATATTTATGCTTTTTTGGAGTCAACACTTTGGGCAAAGCTTAAACAAAGTTTAAGACCTCATAACAATGTGATTAAGACTTTTTAATACCTTTTAAGGGCCTTCATTTCCTCATAATTGACTTATCAACTTTTAATACTTAAAAAAATACTATTATTTTTCTATCAAAAAGCATGTTCCGGGTAGTAACCATCTTAGATAATAATATTAATGGATGAATACTTAAATTAGGGCTGCTTGATTATGTGAATATTTAAAACGTTACGTAGTTTTCCTCCCTGTAAATAAGGTTGCTATTACGCCTTCAACATTCCACAATTCTACAATTCAATTCAAATTTCTCACAATTAAGGAAAGAGGAAAAATACAGCGGAATAAACATATGAAAGAAACTGTGCTTTAAGCATCTTCACTGTAAGAAAATAACTTGATTTGTTTTTTTATTAAAGCTACAAAAGTCCTTCAGTCAAGAGCAGTGAGTGATGTTGTCCTTGTTTCTTGTTGTTTGATTAATAATAATTAAAACAGTCTGCAACAGGAATATAGTATACTGTCACTTTACATGCTGAAAAAGTCACATTACAGTACGTTTTTACTCATTTTCATATGACACTGAGCATTACAGAGGAACGTATTGCAAAAAGGGGTGAGATATGACATCGTTTATCTCGATTAATGTTTTGTCATAATCGTTGGAAGCCAAAATCAAAATCAACTGAATTTTGATTAATTGCACAGCCCTAATCTATATTACTGTTACAACACAGTTGTAGGTTTGTTTTTTATATTTAGTTTTACTTGATATTTTAAACATAATTAATGATCAGTCACAGATTAAATTTGTAAGTAATCTACCCATACAAAAAAAAAAAATGCTGGATTGTTTCAACCCAAATTTGGGTAATGAAGCCAACTGCTTTATAAAATTTAAGATTACTTTACTGTAACCAACCAGGCTCATTATTGATATGTACCACTATATACATTTCAGGAGATCGCATAATACGACTCAGAACGTATGCTTTTTTGCATTTTTTGGTTTTGCATATCCACCAGAGGCCGGTGAGTATGCTTTTTCAGATCTCCATTCGCACTACCTCTTCTCGCGTGAATCCATCAGAGGCCACTGTCAACTGACTGACTGACTGACTGACCCCACCCATCCCCTTCCCTAAACCCAACCCATAGTGTTTTTAAAAGCACTGATTAACATGCCCAATGCCTACCCTAAACCCAACCTACAGTTTTGTTTTTTTAAAGCGATTCAGAAAAAGAAAAGCCCTCAAGGCTGCGGGCTGCCTGATTTTTACCAAATTTGTATATCTTACCACATTCTCACCCTGTTATTTACTTGTTAATTTTATGTTTTGTTTTTGTTTTACCTGCTTTCTGGAACTGTTATTTACTGGACTCAAACAATGTTGTCTTTGTCAACACCTCTCTGCATCTCAAGTCTGCTGACATACGCGGTGAGCTACTGGGCAAACTGGTAATAGCGGAAAAGCCATTCAAATGGAGGTAAGTGGTCAACTGATGGCGCGAAAAGAAACAAAAGTCGTCAATGGCATCATGCTGCCCCAAAGTGTTAATTTTAAAGACAATTACTAATACATACCTCTGGCTACATAATTTGCACTCTCCAAAAATGTATACGGGGGTACGTTTTCACATTGATCCTGTGTTGCAACCACCCAACTTTAGCTCAGTAATTCACCATATCCATCAATCAAAAAATGAATTAAACAAGTCCAGTCGTTTGTCTATGTAATCCTACAAAATGTCAGTAATACTAGATACAAGTAATATTTCACTCCATGAAAGATATAATCAACCACAGATAAATCCCTACATCCATAATATATCTAGAGATCCATCATCCATGACAGCTCATCCCCTAAAGCACAAGCACATAATTAAAACCAGGCCAAGGTGTTTCTCTCACCTGCTGCACCCACTGGACTGAACTAACGATGCAGTCTCATGTGAGAGCCAAGCATGTGTGCCAGAGATCTCTGAACAGCATGAGGGGTTTGAACTTCGGAAAGGCAGAGAAACACAACATCTGTGTGGAGTAATGAGCTACAGATAGACCGGGAGAGAGAAGTGTGGAGCTATTGCTGCTTCAGATCTGTTTGGCTTCATTATCCATGCAGATGAATGCCAAAATGAATATGCAAGGCTTCATTAAAGTGGTGTAGCAACCCAAACCACACAGCAGGTAACTGGTTCACTTAAAAAACTAAGGAGATTAAACTTTGTGTCTTCGTGTTATGGATATTTAATAATATAGGTGGAAGGGGAAAATAATGGTTCGGGTAAGGATGTAAAATTTTGTATATGAGTTCCTCAGTATGAAGCTGGGACAACAAATCAACAACTTTCAATTTACACAACAAAAACACAAAATGTTCCCAAAAACTGACCATCCTTTCCTGAACCTTCACATTTGTTTTGATTTTACACCCATATTGGAGAGAGAAAGAAATAAAAAAAATATTGCTTAATTACAAATTAAGTTCAAGCAATGACTTCTGTATGTAGAATCATCAAACAATTATATGTACAATTATCTGACCTAGATTATAGTAAAAGGCTGTTACACTGTGCACAATGAAGTCCTAAATGTATTTACCCTCATACACAAACATCCTCATACACACACAATAATGATTCTGAAACTATCTTTCAGTTGATTCTGTAGATATAGTGTGATGTCACTGTGTGTGCTATCTTGAGAGCATATGTGTCTTATCAAGGTAAAAAAATACTTTTGTAGTAAAACTAATGTCCAATGTACGCTAGAATATTGAAATTAAATTCATATAAAAGCTAAATAAATATTCTATAATATTTATGAAACAGTTCGAGCAATATCCCCAGCTTGCAGTCAACCATAACTACTGACTCTTCTTTTGGAATGAATGAAGTAAACATAAATTACTTACCGTCCACTGCCATATCAGAAAGCCAGACTCTGCTACAAGCAACAACCCCCCAATTAGATAACAAGTTGAGAACTGAAGTGCCCCATTTTCCACCCTGGCTCTCTTGAAAGGTGTTTCTTCAGCAGGTACATCCAGTGTGTGGCGATCGACGCTCGCGCTTCAGTGTGAAATATGAGTCTCGCTGCTCTTGCTCGCACTGCTGACGCCTCCCCACAGCATGAAGATTTTCATATTTTGTGAAAAATTGCCTACGCCTCTTTATTGCATAATTTATGTAATGTTTAAAACATATGATCTCTTACATTAAAAACTAATTTTAAATTTAAAATAAAATATCCTTATAAATAACATTAATGATATCGTTATTTAATGCGCGCAGCGTGTCTGTGAAAATATTTGCCACTTTCATCGCATTTTAAAAAGTCATTAAAATGAGTTATTCATTTGGAAACCCCCAAGCTTCGTGTGTTAGGTTATTTATAATCTTTATATTTGTTACCAAGTTATGTTTCGTGAGAAATGGTCGTCTGATTCTCTCTCACGTCTCAGTGGCAGCCAGCAAAGCCTGTAATTAGTCTGTGAACGGAAACATGCATATTATTGGGATAAGTTTTTGTGACCCTTCTATCACCAAAGTTCGGAAATAGTCTAAAATCACAGTATACAGCCATCCATTAATATTGCGTGTTAGTGAAACGAGTTATAAATGACACCGCCTCTAAACAAATGAAGTATATTTTCTCCTAACACTGTAAACACTAGAGGGAGGTATTTCACCTAAATTCTCAAGCAGGTCCTATTTTGCCAATTTAGCAATTTTGTTGCTAGATTTAGCAACTTTTTAGAAGACATTGTGAACCCTTTTGAACTTTTTTTCTCTCCAAAAGCAACTAACCACAAGTGTATCTCTTTTCAGACCACTCTAGGAACCTTTTTTACCTTTTTAACTATCAACAAACGTAACTATTTAAGAAGGTAAACATTACTTTGCAACTTATGAAAACCTTTTGAGGCAAAATGAGGTACGCATTTTATCACTTTTATACAAAGAAGCGGAAACTATTGAACAGCTAGCCAATGAGAGGTGACTATAGCAGTAGGCTAAACACACCATAAGGAAAGTTGCAAGCTGTATTGTTTCTTTAATAACTATTAATTTAAGATACGTCTTATTATATTTTTGTACAAGATTGTTGATGTGCTAATTCATAATTATGAATAGATATTAAAAAAGGTGAGAAATAATTTAGTTTTTTTTTTTCTGTCATCTTTTACTCGCATGTCACCTGTTTAAGTTTCTTTATTCTTTTGAACACAACCCCAAAGTAAATTATCTTTGTGGTCAAATTATCAAATCTATGTCAAAAGCGGATTGTACGTTTGAAATAGATTAGAATTTGGCTAGTATGTCGGTATAACTTAAAAAAAAAAGTCCACTAAATTAATAACTGAAGCAGACATATTTAAAATGTGTTAAAGATGTTGACTAAAACAACAATTGGGGGTAGTTTGCTTGAATTTTGTGTTTGTGGGCTTGGGAATACAGTATAGCCTGTTTGTTGGGCCATATTGGAGCATGAAATAAATAGCTTTGTAAAACATCTAATAACTATTTTTAATTTCTATCATAATTAGTAAAATTATTATGGTGACTGTGAGTCAAGCATTCAACAGCCCATCGGTATAAATTGGCTATATTCAATTCCTGCTTCAAAAATGCAGTGGTTCTGTCTGTCTCCTTAAAGTAATTACACTGACCCTACTATTTTTAATAATTATAGGTCTGTTTTAAAATGGCTGTTTTCTATCCAACATTCTGACAAAGTTTTGTGCGTGTGTGGCTCTGTTTGCATCACTTATTTATTTGATTCTCTTTTCAAGCTCTTCTTTTCAAGGCTCTCAAAACTTCACTATGTGGGCCCCTTCAGTAATAATCATCTTCCAGGCTTTCAAAACTTCACTGTGTGGGACCCTATAAGCCTCTGTCTGAGCTATGAACTCTGTCTCCCTTTTCCTCTGATCAGCAGCACCTCTGATGCCTTATTCAATATGTCGATTTTGTTTCAATGTGCTTTTTTATCTGCAGTTGTTTCCAACTGCAGCAGCTCCATTTCTAATGGCCAAAATAAAAAGAAAGCTTGTAACCTCTGTCTCCCCTCTTATATCGGTTGCCAATTATAGTAGCTACACAGAATGACCATTTGTTCTATGTTTATAAACCTTTCCGTGGTCTAAACTCACAGTACATTACTAAACTATTGTGGCCATATTCTTTACCAAGGCTTCTTTAAAACTAAAAACATAAATAAAAAAAATAGCTTTTTCTCTTTGTTCAGTGTTTCTGAAAACCAATGTCATTAGGTGTTTATAGTTGTACCTTCAGTTTTTTTTTTTGTTTGTTTTTCAGTTCCTCCTTCAAACTGGCCATATTGAAGACATTTTTTACCAAATGATTTGGCGATGGATAGGGGTTTTAATTAATTGTTTTTCTGCATTGTTCCTGACTGAAGCATGAGCTTCCTGTCTCATAAAGGCGCACATGCACACGAAAAATCTCACATATGAGATGCCATTTGTTTGTAAAGGAAAAGGACAATAAATGTGTTGTGTTGTGTATCAAAATGATACATTACTTAATTATCCTGATGAATTATTCATTGGAGTTTTTGACTTCTATTTTAAAGTTTACTTATTGTTTTTTTATGGATGGTTGCAGAACTGAGATTGGTCCTGTACTGGTGTAACACAAAGTTCAGTCCTTGTTTCTTTGCATTGACTAACTGTTAGATTATAAATTGCTAATGCTAACACAAAGCTCTGAATGCTCAGGCTTCTCAGCATCTAGCTGAACTCCTAACACCTTGCACACAACTTCAAAATGTGCAATCCTTTGCAAGTGTTTTTTTTTTTTTTTTTTAGTTATTACCAAGACAGCTTCATTTCAGGAGTAATAAAGGCTCTCATCCTAAAATATTTTATTTTAAGATTGCTTTTACTTGATTGTTTGTTTTATGCTGGAATTTTTGTTGTACCGTTTTTGCATTTCACTTAATGTTTTTTTTTGTTGTGTCCTATGTAAAGTGCATTGAGAAGTAACCCTTAATGTAAATAATGTTCAGTTTCTACCACAGACCCGTCATTTACCTTCACTGAATTGTCAGGAGTCATGGGTATTAATTTAGTTTCGTCTGTATAGACGTAAGCATTCATTTACATTTTCTGAATCACCACAGACCACATTTCCAGCTAAAAACCTCAAATGTTCCTCAGAAAAAGCACCTACAGTGTAAAAATTAATTAAATTACTGCAGTATGCAACACCTAAATGAATTAAGTTTTCTTTCTAACTTAATTGATTACATTTTCAACTTCAAATGTAAAAATTAATTCCTTTAGATGTTGATCCAGTTTTCCAAATCTTAGATGGCCTGTGTGAGTAAATTAACAGCAGATTTATATTCACTTTGGCTGAAATATCACTTTCATGCTGGAGAAGTAGATAAAAGAGGTAAACTGCAGAATGTAATGCATCAGCTGATCTGTAAAACAAACTGTGGGCCAAACACCAGAGTAATGTGCTTTAAAAAACTTTTAACACCCAGCTCTGTACTAACTTCTATACATTTTTTTGCCAAAAAGGAAAAGAAAATAATGCTCACTCTTGGTTGTGGACAGAGAACAAACACTCACTGTCTTGTTTCCGTAAGTTTATGCGTAGTGGAAAAGTGCCAGTCTTCAGCCACACTTCACACCAAACAAACAAAGACAAACATAAAATTGACTCAACTGATTTCACCACCAAGAGTTGAATGTTGATGCCTAGTGCTAATTTTCTGACAAAGACAACATTGGGGAAAAATGTAGAGAGCAAGAGAGAACTTTAGCCAAGTGAAAGGCCGAATTAAATGTTTTGTTAATGGTTTAGGGAACATTTGACCATGCACACACCCTGTAATCTGTTTAGCGGTCTTTAAACCATTCACTATGTTCAGCTTCTACAAGGTGCAAACTGTGATTGAAATGAAAAAGGGCTCCACCCTACTTGAAGTGTAACACATCATTACACCTGATGACCGCTGGTTCGGCCAACTGCTCAGTACAGAAGTGCATTATGAGGGTTTGAGGGCTGAACAGCCGGTTCATTGTGATGTCATATCCTTTGCACTTCCTGGGTGGAGGTGGTTGTGAAGAATAGTGCATGTGTGCCCGGTGTGGTAGTGGAAAAGCCAGTGCCAACAACTTACTGTGCAGGTTTTGTCAAACATTTGGTGAATAATATGAGGGCGGTGACCCACATTAACATTTCTTTAGAAAATCATTTGAAACAAGCCAGAGCTGGGACATATGGTGTTTAAAACGGACCTCATTCAAAACAGTTTAAAAGGATAATGTGCAGTCAAAGGGCCTTTATTAAAAATTGTAAAGTGTATCATCCTCAAGACACATTTAAGCTATAGAAAGCATGTAAGCAATATGAACATAGCTAAGTATAGCAAACTAAATTAAGTACATATCTTGCGTTTCTTTTACTTTGGGTTGATTTTTTTAAAACGAACATATTTATTTGTTTTTATCATATTAAAACTTTCTTGATAAGCATCATAATTAAATTCATTTTCATAGCTTTTTTTATAAATATATTTTAGCATTTTACCAATGTTCCAAGCCCAAACTTTCTATCTTACTAACAAAAAAAAATCAAATAGTATACTTTATAAATTTAATTTGAATAAATAAATGAATGAAGGTTTAAATTAAGTGTAATTTTAGCTTCACATTTAGTTTCAAACAAAGCATGTTAGGAATCTTTGTTAATGTCAATGTAGGCCCGTAGCCAGCCTATTGAATGGGGTGGTTCTTTTTTCAGAAAAAGTAGAGCTTTTTGTAGTTATTCTTGTACATTTTTTATTAAATTATGAGGTTCAAATGCATTTTAGTGACATTCTTTGCTGCATTTGCCTGTTGCATGGTGATCATAAGCTCACTTTTTGATGCAGCAAATCTATTTCCTACAATTTTGTCAAAGTGCTTACCATACTATTTTACCACAAACTGTTTATTTAGAAATGTGCAATTAAACTGTTTTAGTGTGCATTTAGAAGTTATTACAGTTTTATAAATAATGTTATGAGATTTGTTATTCATTCATTAATTTTCTTGTTGGCTTAGTCCCTTTATTAATCCAGGGTCACCACAGCAGAATGAAC